CCTTTGTCCTTTTCGGCAGGCACCAGGGCTGTGGAGAATACCCATCCCTGCTGCCCGGCATTTCCACAACGTTAGCAGCTCGGTGCATAAAGATTAGTGGGTGATCGTGCTTATCTCAGTGCCCTGAAAAAAGGCTTTGCCGCAGCTGTGAAAGGCACAAGACCGAGACTGTCTGGGTGTCCTTCCACACCCCATCACTCTGCACTCCACATATCCTGGGAGATTTCCTGGCAGATGTTCGAGACCCGGCCTGACTTGACACACACTCAGATCCTGACTATCTGTATATTATTCATTTATAAATGGGTCTTCTGTGGTCATCTGAAACGATGTGGGGAAGGACTCAGAGGCTCATATTTCAGTCCCCTCTGCCATATTACGGTGATCTAACATATAGGGTCAAATATCAAGTGAAATCCCCCCCCTCCAAAGTCCAGGTCTTCCCAGGAGTTCAGAAACAGCTGTCTGCTGCCATCTGGTGGCCATCTCATGGCATCACCTACAGAGAAAAGACCTCCGAACCAATGAAAGCATTGATTATACATTGTATAGAAGCTACGGATGGGCACTTATTTGCCAGCGTGCCACAGACTTTAAGGTTGCCAACCTCCAGGTGGTGCACAGAGATCTCCTGGAATTGCAAGTGATCTCCAACCGACAAAGATGAGTTCCCCTGGAGAAAATGGTTGCTTTGGAGGGTGGAATCTAAGGCATTCTACCCCACGGACGTTCCCCACTCGTCCTCCACCTGAAGCCTGCTAGGTGACCATGGGCCAGTCACAGTTCTCTCGGAGCTGTTCTCTCAAGAGGAGTCCTCAAAGGAGCTCTCTCAGCCCCACCTACCTCACAGGGTGTCTGTCGTGGCGAGAGGAAAGGAAGGAGATTGTAAGCCGCTCTGAGACTCCTTTGGGTAGAGAAAAGCGGGGTATAACTCTTCTTCTAAAATGAATCTGTGGTTGCCAGTGGCCTCCCCCCCCCCTGAAAACTATGGGACTTATTGGTTGTGAGTAGGGGTCATTTCGTTGAAAAAGCGGTGCAGGAGCTCATTAGCGTAACTCATTAGCATAACTTATTTGCATGTGCCACACCCCCTGACATCACCGGAAGTGTGTCAGAAGGCAATACCCACAGCTTAGGCTCCACTGGACTATTTGGGATTGCTAGCTATGGGGGGAGGGGAAACGCGCAGATCTGCCCTCACAGAGGAGGGAGAGCTTGTACCTGAAGGCAGGGCAGGGGGCGGGGCTTGTTGCATGTGCCCGCCCCCTGGGCTCCTTACTGCCAGAGCTCCACTCCTGTGCGCTCCCGCAGGAAATGACCCCTGGTTGTGAGTATCCTGTTCAATAGGCTTCATGGGGTTGCCAATTCCAGGTTGGGAACTTCCTGGAGATTTGGAGGTGGAGCCTGGAGAGGATGGGGCTTGGGGAACGGGAGGGACCTCAGCAGGGCATAATGCCCTAGAGTCCACCCTCCGAGGCATCCATTTCCTCCAGGAGAACAGATTCCTGTAGGCTGGAGGTCAGCTGCAGTTCTGGGAGGACTCCAGACCCAACCTGGAGGTTGGCAACCGCTAGGGTGGCCAGCTCTGGGTTGAGAAATACCCGGAGGTTTGGTGGGTGGAGCCTGAGGAGGGTGGGGTTTGGGGAGGGACCTTAGCTGGGTATGAAGCCATACTGTCCACCTTCCAGAGCAGACGACTGAGAGGTGATATGGAGGAGGAGGAGGAGGAGATTGGATGTATACCCCGCCCTTCACTACCCAAAGGTGTCTCAGAGCGACTTAGACACTCCTTTCCCTTCCCCTCCCCACAACAGACACCCTGTGAGGTAGGTGGGGCTGAGAGAGCTCTGTCAGAAAAGGCTCTTTTTCAAGGACAGCTCTTATCAGAACTGTGGCTTGCCCAAGGTCATCCAGCCAGGTGCAAGTGGAGGAGTGGGGGAATCAAACCCAGTTCTCCCAGATTAGAGTCCGCTCACTTAACCACGACACCAAATAGGCTACACCGAACTGGCTAGGATCACCTTCTCCAAGTCCTTCAAGGGCTGTCCTATGGAGGGCGGGGCGGAGTTGTTTTCTGTCGCCCCAGAAGGTCGGCCTAGGACCAATGGGCTGAAATTCAATCCGAAGAGTTTTCGGCGAAACGTGAGGAAGAACTTCCCGACAGAGCGGCTGCTCAGCGGAACAGGCGTCCTCAGCGGAACGGCATTGTTTTCAAAAGTTTTGTTTTATTGTAAGTAGATGCCGGTTTTATGTAAGCCACCCTGAGCTGGCCTTGGCTGGGAGGGCAGGGTATAAATCTGAGGAATAAACAGAGGTCATTTCGGGGGGGAACGTGGGGGATCGCAGTTCCCCCGGGTGAGGGGTGGGGGCGGGGAACATGACGAAGCCCCGCCCCCTGCTTCCGGCCACCCCGCTTCCGGCCCTCATTCAGCCAGGAGGAGGCAGGAGAAGAGGGAGGGTAAGTTGCTTCCTCCCTGCCTCTCCCCACCCCTGCCT